AGAGTTCTGTGAAATGTTTCTTAAGCTGAAATGGTTTGAAGTGAAGAAACAATTACTGTTAATATCTATGGAAAAAACTTTTGAGCAGTCCCAGACCCAAAAAATAACCTGTCAAATCATACCAAATGACACATGAAACCCAAAATAACACTAGCATATAGTGTACTCAGACATAGTTCAAAGCCATGATGGCTTATGGCTGAGATACTGAGGCTGGGAAAGGAGCTTGGTGAGCTGCCTCTCTAAGGGCTTCCTGTAAAACATATTGAATGCTAGTTTCACTTTTCACCTTTTTGGAAAATGTGAAAATCCTCTTCAGATTTTTCAGTTAGGTAAAACAGGTACTAATGCTGGTCTTTTGTAAAATCACAGTGGTATAAAACAAGCTTTCAAGAAGTAGGAGATATACCTGTACTTTCAAAAATCAGCCGTTGAAAACCTGTGGCTGACAATGGTCTGATCCCAACATAGAGAGGGTCACTATGAGTTGAGGGCTGACTCGTCAGCAGCTGACAACCACAACACACACCTCGATCTATGTCCTAGTTTTATATATTATACCTTAGAATAAGTTTGGAATCTTTTAAAAAATACATGAGAATAGTATTCATGAATATGACAATTTTAAGGCTTTTGTGGCTTTTCCACATTAATTCTGTAATTAGTTGCTGTAATTTCTAGTCCTTATTCCCACAGTTAATAAATCACATATGAATGGAGGTACGTGAAAGTGAGACGTTATAGTTGTAACTTTGAATCTGCTTTCATTTACTCATAAAAAGTAAATATTTTGCAAGCAGTGGTTCTTTAAACAGTATTAATATTTTGTAACAGATTGTAACGTTGCTGTGATAACCTCTGCTTCATAAGATACAAGTCCTGTTATTCATGTGCCATTGGAGGTGTTAGATATTTCCTACTTGGGAAAGTAAGATGAGATCCTACTTATTTTAAGCTATCTTAAGAGGGAAAATTTTAAGTTCCTTTTTATTTTCTTTGACTTAAAATAGACAAATTGGTATTAACAGTATTATGATGGACATGGTAGCATACTAAATAAATAGCCCAGACATTTGGCTAGTTGTTATTTTTAGCTTTTAAATATTGCACCAATTGTTTTGTGTCTTGGGGCACAGGAGTTCTATAATAACCACACAGTTTCCATTAATTATTTAAGTTCATTAGGTACATTAATAATATATAAATATAAAAAAAAATCTTCTACCATCAGGGTAAGCCAGCTATAAATACAGGTTTTGTTTTGAGCCTTTAAAAATAATTTCTGAGTTGTTTTTGATGAAAATCCCTAAATATCAGTCCTTGATGGAAGCCATCCTTGTCTGTTTTCCTTAAATGTTTTTCTGACAGTTCATAGCAGACTGTTCTGATTTGCACTGATGACTGGGCTCGCTAGACCCAGCCTCATTAGCCAAAGTCTCATTAGACCAAAGTTTGCTCCTGGAATGACACCTGCAAGAGTATTAAAGCAACTGTACCGAAACATTGATATAATTGCACCCTGTTGGTACCCTGAGTCAGCATTTCCTAGCTGCTAGCCACCTTGGGTAGCCCAATGGTGGAGGGAAAGAGGACTGACTACCTGCATCCTTTTAAGAGCTCGGAGCAGAGGATGTTTTTGAAATGCATAGACTCTCAGAGTAGATCTTGTCTTCTTCCCAGTTGAAGAAACAGACTCAGGAAGTTGAGATGATTTACCTAAACTTACGAAGCTTGCCCTTTAACTTTTAAGTAAGGTATAAAATGTCCCTTATAAAATGTCTCTATTATGGCATTCAACTGCAAATAAGAACAGTTTATGTAACAATGTAGTACATCTTTAGCATTTGAGTGCTAACCAGAAGGCTGCTGATTCAAACCCACCAGCCACTCCTCGAAGGAAGGTTGGGCAATCTACTTCCATAGAGATACCACCTCAGAAACCCAAGGAGGGTCGCTATGAGTGGAATTGACTCCAGGAAAGTGTGTTATGGATTAAAAAGAAACCAACATGCAACAGTGTGTTCTATCACGTAGCTTAGTTACCAGTAGCACCATCATATAGATGGCACTAATGAGAAGAAATTGGTAACCTCTGTTTTTAGCCGTTTGTTCTATAAATATATATTGAGCATGACTATAGTATTTGCATTAATGAAGCTGGCATTCTGCTGGGAAACAGACAGTAAACTGGTAACAGAAATACCCAGATAGTGCTAAGTTAGATGGAAAGAACGAAAATAAAATAGTAAGTTACATTAGGTGGCCAATGGCGCTCCTGGAGAGGTGGCATTTAAATTGATATCTATTTACCGGAAGAAGCCATCCAGCCAAGGTTCAGGGAAATTAGCTTTCCAGGCAAGAAGAATAGTTGTGTAGAAGCCCTCAGGCAAATACAAAGTTGCTCTGTTTAAGGAATGGAAAGGTCAGTGTTGCTGGAGAATTAGCGGGTGAGGAGAAAAATTGTTGAAGATGAGATAGGCAAGGGCAGGACAAATAGGGATTTGAACACCAAGGTAATGAGTTTGGGGTTTATTTTAACTGTGATTGAAAGTTTTAAACGGGAGAGACGTGATCTGATTCACATTTTTTAAAGGTCACTCTTTATGAAGGATGGGAAGAGGGAAACAGAGTGGAAACAGAAACTAGTTAGTTGGCTGCTGTCCTGATCCCAGCAGGGCTTGGATTACAGTGCTAGTAGTTCCCATAGAGAAAGGTGGCCCATGTGGGATTGATTTTAGGATTGGAGGTATGAGGATTTAGGGATAGATTGAAGAAAGAGAGAAGAGAAATCAGGGTTAATTCTAGATGTTTACTTGAGAAAACGGGGAAGATGGTGTCTTTAAAGCAACAGAAAAGAATGTGAGATCAAGTTTTATGATGTTTGAGACTTGGGCTTCTTACGGGTAGATTTACTGTGCTCGGCAAGTATTTTGCCTCCTCATAAAACTTTCCCTACCCATAAAATGAGAGGTCTAGCTGGATGGCACACAACAGTCCTTCTTGCCTTTAACATTTGCTGATTTGAGGAGAGATTTTACTGTAAGATATTCTGTGGAAGTGCATGAACAGGTTTTATTAGGGAGAGACAGTAAGGGCAAGTGAGTTCCATGGGGGCCAAGACTTGTTGTCCAGGTGCTTCCTTAAGTTTCCTGTGGGCAGAGAACGTGAATCTGTGATTTTCTTGAAGCCTTTCTGAACCCCCTATAAGCTCTACTGTACACTTGGCTTCATGTGAAAGATGATGAGAGGTGAACCTTGATTTAGTATTGGCATATTTATAGCATTTAATTCAAGAAATATTTATCATGTGCTTAAGTTAAGTGTTGGAGGAGACTTGAAAATCAGTTCTGGATGCTAGTAAGGTAACTTCTTTTTTTTTTTTTTTTTAATAGCAAAAGCAGACATGTGTCAATTTAAATTCCACGTCTATGTATTTGGTAAGCGGAGGCTTAAATAAAACTGTTAATATTTGGGACTTAAAATCAAAAAGAGTTCATCGATCTCTTAAGGTAAGCACCTTGTTTTTTTGTTTGTTTATATGTTCTGCTTTTTAATTCTTACAGAAGTGGGTATCTCACAATATGTTTAGAGTGGTTAACCAAACTTTTCTTGAGCTGCTATATTTTGTATGTTTATCTTTCCAACTTGGTTTGAAACATTGCTAAAATAATTTTCTATTTACAATTATTTTTTTAATACCTTTTTGCAATTTCAGAAAATAAAAATACTGATTACATGAAAGCCTCTGGGGATGGTATTTTTAGAATTCTGTTCACTATTGTAGGCCACTCCTCAGAAGGAAGGTTGGGCAATCCTACTTCCGTAGTGATACTGCCTCGGAAACCCAAGGAGGGGTCGCTATGAGTCGGGGCCGACTCGAC